TCCTCTTGGCGTTGTAAAGGATGTGACCTCCTAGTCTGGTTCACACATAGCGATCTGATGATAACCTCTGTATGCATCAAGAAAGCTAAGTCGGTTGTGTCCTACCGTGAGGTCTACCAGTTGGTCTATCCGTGGTAGAGGAAAGCTGTCTTCTAGGCACGCTTTGTTGACTGTTTTGTAATCCATACAGACACGCCATTTTCCATTCTTCTTTGGCACCACTACTGTGTTGGATATCCACTTGGGATAGTGCACCTCTCTGATAGCTCCCACCTCTAGAAGGTTTCCCACTTCTTCCGTCACTATCTCGGCGTGGTGGAATGCTGATCTGCGAGTGCGCTATATGATTAATCTTGCAGTTGGGTAGACATTCAAATGGTGACAGATGAAGTTTGGGTCAATGTCAGGCATGTCATACGGCGTCCAGGTAAACACTTCGATGTTAGAGGTCAAGAATTCCATGACCTCTATTCTCTCGGTGCTGGACATAGTTGAGCCAAGCAAAAAGAACTTTTTCGGGTCCTTTTCATCTATTCTTACCTGTACCAAGTCTTCCACTGCCTTCTGTTCAGCGGCTTTGCCAACATCTGCAAACAATTCATTGCTCTCAGGTTCTTCCACCATCTGAACAAACCCTTTGGCAGCTCGGCTGCCATTTACTGTGACGAAGCATTGCTTGGACATAATTTGGTCTCCATAGACCTCTTCAATTACTCCGGCTTCGTTAGGGAACCGCATTACTTGATGGTAAGTTGACGCTACCGATCGCATGGCGTGCAGCGATGTCCTCCCCAAGATTATGTTGTAAGTGGAAGGGACTTTCAACACTCAAAATTTCACTTGTTTCGTCATGCTTCCTGCTCTGACTGGGAGGATAATCTTGTCAACTGGCCACTCTGGCATTGAGTTGAATCCGATCAGGGGAGATACGGCAGGTGCCAAGTCTTTGTCCTCCAGTTTCAACTATTTAAAAGTTTCGTAGTACATTATCTCACATGAGCTCTCTTGGTCGATCAAAATTCGCTTGACGCCGTAATCCTTGACACGAAGAGTGACGACCAGTGCATCATTGTGAGGGCAATATATCCTTTCCAAGTCTCTATCTGAAAAAGACATGACGTTTGTGGCCTCTGTTTTTCCCTTTTTAATGGTGGGCTGCGCACTTAATACCTCCCTTAAGTGCTCAGCCTTCTTTATCATTCCCCTGAGCTCACATACTCGCTCAGGTTCGAATACCCCATGTATTACGTTAATCACGCCTTGAGGCGGGGTGTTGATCGGCGTTCCGTCTGGGTGATCGTGGTTTTGGGGGGCTGGCTGCATCCCTCATTCTATGTACCAGTCCAGGTGACCAGCTGCCACTAACTCCTCTAGATGCTGTCTCAACGGCATGCAATTTTTAGTGTGGTGCCCCTTTTCCTTATGGAAGGTGCACCGAAATCTTTTCGTCGTAGTCCTTCTGTGCCTTCCCAATTTAGCTGGCCATCTGACGAAGGTTCATCGCGTATCTCGCTGAGAATTCGGTAGATTGGTTTCTTGAATAGCGTGATAATGGCAGTGCGGACTCTCAACCATCTTTTATCTTGGTCTTCTCCGTTGTCTCGCCGCCTCGCTCGTTCTTGCTTGGAACGTTCTACCGTGTTGAATTTTGCCGAAGTCTTTTTTATCTGGTATTGCAGCTGCACCAGACTTTGTTTTAGCACGGGTGCCATCCTCCTCCACCCGAATGTGCTGGTGTACCTTCTCCATTAAAGCTTCCATTGTGAGGGGAGGTGTCATGGTAATTGAGTCCCTCAGCCTGTTTCTGACTGGAAGTCTCTTTTTGTATTGCCGCGATGGCGAGATTTGTGGGACAATCTCCTATCTGGTTGAAGGTCTCCCAATAACGACTGTTGTAGGATCTCAACGTCCTCCTTGTCGCCCATGTCAATGGAGAGTAGCTGATTGATCTCTACTGGGGTCTTGGTGTTCGTTCTGAACCTTGTCACGAACGCCTCTGCCAATTGTGCCCAGGAGGCTATGCTGCCTTTTGGTAGCCTTTCGAACTAGGTTAAACCTAGGTCGCCAAGGCTGGATGGGAATAGGATGCACATCAAAGCTTCGTTCCGCCGGTATACTGCCATGACCTGGCGAAAATGGCTTAGGTGCATGTAAGGGTCTGTCTTCCCTTCGTACGTCGTAAATTTAGGCTGGATGAAACCTGAATGTAAGGGTGCGTTCTCAATCGCCGGAACAAACGGCGAGCTATATAGCCTTGCCAATGCTTTATCTGTTGGTTCGTAGGCAAGGTGTGGTATTGGCATTCCTACCTCGACGCCTCTATGCGTCCGAGGAGCCAACCGCTGAAGGGCTGAAACTCTGTGCGGATCGCGTGCCCTTGCATCCTCTTTCCGCTGTGCCCTTTCTTCAAGCACAGTCCGTAAGTCGGACGATCTAGGCAACTCCGTTTGTCTAGATGCCGTCTGGTGCGTATGTGAGGGCCGATAGGTGCTTCCCTCAGTGTAGGACCTCAATGTTCTCGTTCTCTCAGACCTAGAGTAATGAGTCCTGGAAGTCCTTGATTGAGTGTCGCCTGTTCTGAGGCTCCTACTCTCTACTTATGATGGCGTGGTATGCCTACCACGATCTTCTGAGTGGCGAGGAGGCGTATTACTTTTGCGCCCCTCTCCTGTCGCCACCCCTTTCCTTTTTGTCTGGCGTTTCATCAATTTCATGTCTGCCGCCATCTTCCTGATTAACTCGTCCTGCTCCTTTACCCGATCCTCCAAAACTTGAGGGTCGATCCTCCTCCTCTGTCTATCAGGACTTGATGAGCGACGGAGACTGTTACCCCGCCTTCCCCTTGCATCCTTCCGAGGATTCTGTCGCTAGGGCTCCAGGTCTGCCATGAGAGGGATTGAAGGCAAACCTTCGCGCCTTCCACCTCCCTTGGGGTTTGCCCGTTAATGGCAGACTGCGACAAATCTTCATTGTGTGCCATTGCGTCTAATCTAGCGAGAAACACTTTGATCAAGAGGTTTTGTTCTTTCTGTAATTCCCACAGACGGCGCCAATTGTACGAACAAGAAATAATCTTCTCGTATAATCTTGTTGATCAAGTTCGCGCTCCTCCAAACGTTGTCGCTTTACTCCCTGAAAACACAAATGTGAGCTAGCCAGCAGGTGTGTGCCGGATACCTCTCCGATGCCTAAGTCAGCAAAATAGACAAATAGGCAAAAGCTCTGTGTATTCAAGAATCAAAATTGTGTTACCTCTCCATAGGTGATGGCATGAGCTTTTATAGGTTCCGCGTGGCACAATCCTAGTAGGACTCTTATTTCTCTATGCAGAATCCTCTTACACCCTCCTCACTGCTTAAACCAAGTGAGATGATCCTAGCTCAGCAACCGAGCTAGCATTGTCATGACACAGTGACAATGTAACCGAGCTATTTATCCCGGCGCTTTATGCGTAACATGTACCTCGACTTTGCTTGTAGGCCGTGCTAACCATAGCGTACTTCGACCGAGCTACTCAACAGCAAGGTCCTAAAATAGAGGCCAAAAATACCTCGGCTCAAGATGGTTTGACCGGGCTAACCGTCACCGCGCCGGCCGTGGTGACCGAACTAACCACCAAGCTCCTTCGGACCGGGCTATCTACAAGGCTCCTTTAGACTGGACTAATTACAAGGCCCCTTTTACTCAGCCCTTCTTACTATGGCCCACAGACTGCCCATTACCCAGCTCGGCCCAATTTACATATAAATTACCCTCTCAATAAAGATATTTTTTTCTCATATTTTTTTTAATCATTAATCAATCCTCTTTTAATCTTAAAAATAAATCTAAAAAAGACCATATTATTTTCCACAAAGTCAAGTTAATGGGAAGACTTTTAATTCTTATGACATAATGGAGCGCTCTCATTTGACAAGTTAATGGGAAAACATGTATCAAAATTTCCAAGTCAAGCAATGAGCTTGGTTAAGGATCTTCTGTCCCACTGTATTCTCTTTTCGTTCAAATTCTTATCTACTACAGAATTAGAGTTCGAAAATAAATTGTATAATAGAGAGGTGATTTAAGACAACGAAAACAAGAGAAAGTGTAAGGCTCTGCTTGGTTATGATTTGTAAACGTGTTTCTATACGTGTGTTTGAGTATGATGTTTGGTTATGGTTTTAAAATCAATTTTCACGAGCTCTGCAGAGAATTCTGTGCATTAGCCACGTTTTTTGTGAAAATTTTGCCTGAGGAAGTCCACCCGGATGTCCACCCGAATGTCCTTGGGGATGTCCACCCGGATGTCCTCTGAATTCTAGATTTTTTTTTTTTTTTGCAATTGATTTATATAATCGGGAAAAATATTTTTTGAAAATTTTTAAATTTTTTATGTGCTTTAAAATAATTTTGAATTGTATGTTTAGTTATGAGTTGTAAATTTTTGTATCACATATCAAATGTCACATCAACAATTTCTCACTCAAAACAAACCTCTTTTCGAAAACTATTTTCAAAACTCTTTACCAAACAAATTTTCTACACTCAAATCATAATTCTACAACACACAAACTCAAAATATAATTCATACTTTCAAATCATATTTACAAAACACAACCAAACGCAGGCTAAGTTTTTTTTTTTTTTTTTTTTTTGTTGTTGTTGTTCACTCAAAATAAAGAAGTACATGGAGGTAATAAGAACGAAAGAAGAAGAAAGTTTTATCGCTAAACTTATCTTGTATACTAATTGCAATTGAGAAAAATAACAAACTTATGCTATATATTTATTGGTAGAGAGAAATTAACAAAAACAAGTAGAGCAACAAAATGAAACCGAAAACGAAAACAACACTTACCAAGGATGAATGGAATTGGTTTAATCCCTCCAACCTCCCTCTTCTTAATCTCTCCCCTTTCCTCCTCTCCATGCTCTATCAAATTTTTCTCTGCATCATCCATCTTCTTTTCAAACACCGGCAAAACACCCAACGGTTATATTTGATTATGATCCATGGGGAAACAAAGTCATAGTCAAATTTTATAAAATAAGAGTGGGCGATGGTGTCAAGGAAGTGACTTAATTAGATTATCTTTCCTTACTCAAGGAGTGCTTTATTGTAACAAATAATATCCACACAAATATAGGCACCGAAAGTGGTCAAAAAAGTCAAAAGAATATATCAGTTGTCAAAAGAAATGCGTGAAACACACGCACTTCTTTTTTTGTAGTTGGGTTTTGAGTAGGAAATTTGAAGAGGAATTATGAAAAAAAAAAAGGTGAAATATAAATAAAATATACTTTCAAATCTCTCAACCAAATACAGTTCTTCAGCTTCTCTCCCTCGCCGGCGTCTCTTGATACTGCAAAAAAATATGTCATTTAGCAAACAAACCCATATTTTGGTATCAAAGGAACTAAGAAAATCTAGATATGCATATCATAGTGAAACCATAATTTTTAAAATTATTTATAAGCCACAAAAATTTACAAGAAAAATTCAATACTCTGTGTGTGATAAAAATTTGAGATGGCAGTTATTAACGGTTAACTGTATACATAACTACCATATTTGTTGTACTCTAATTCTACCAAAAAAACAAAAAAACAAAAAGTCCAGACCCATTAAATTAATATTCAGGGTCATTCAACGGGATTAAAATATAACTAAATTAAATTAATATACAGGGTCATTCAACAGGATTAAAATATAACTAAAAAAACATAAACACCATAAATAGCTATTTCTATTTCAGACCAGCAATCAAAAAATCAATTGAACTAAACAAACCCAAATAGCTCAATAGAATTCAAAAAAAACTTAAATTATTTCCAGGAAGAATCCAAACCCATCAGAACAATAAAAAAATCAATTGAACTACCCACTTAGGTCCTGGAGGAATTAAAAGAGCTGAAGTCCAAAATTCTCAGAATTTCTTCCAAATTCCCGGCAACCAAACAAAATATAAACAAATTGAAAACCTGAAAAACTGAATATCCTTGAGCTTGGGATTTCAATCTTCGATGAGGATGGTAGAGAGAAGAGAGGAGAGAAGGGAGGACGGCAAGAGGAGATCAGTGGTCGGAGAGAGGAAGGCGAGAGAAGAGTAGAGGCGGTCGGATCGGTGGTGTGGTCGTCGGGAGAGGTGAGACCAAAGAGAGAGATAGAGTCCAGTTGGGAAAGAGAGGAAACGGGGGAGCAGGACAGACAAGATGCCTGTGGTGAGTACGCTATTCGCATAGGAAAAATGGCATGGACGTTAAATAATATATTAAATTTTTATCAAATATTTTATATTGATATTAAATTTATAAAAATTCACATGTGTAAGTCTGCCCTTATATGAGAAATTTAATAAATTATTTTAGATTTTTAGTATAATTTTTTACATAATTTTTTGTTTTTTAAATTATGATTAAAAAATTGTTATAGTTAAATGTAATATAAAATATAATCACAAATCCTTATAATTAAAATAATATTATATAATTAAAAAAATAATCATAACTAAAGAAAAAATAACATAATTAGAATTGTATATGATACAGCTTTTTCAAAAATATGTATATTAGAATTTTCTTTAGTTTTGAAATCAATTATGAAAAATGTTTTTAAAATGTAAAAATTTATTTAATTGTATGTTTTAAAAATAATTTTGTGGTTTTATAGTTACAGTTTTTTTGGTTCGAGATGATTTCTAATTTTTTTTTTAGTTAAATAGATGAGTGTGATAGGAAAAAAAAATGATTAATTGATGTGTAGGATATGAAATAATGAAAGAAAAGAATTGCATATGATACATCTTTTTCAAAAATATGTATATTAGAATTTTCCTTAGTTTTGAAATCAATTATGAAAAAAAATGTAAAAATTTATTTAATTGTATGTTTTAAAAATAATTTTGTGGCTTTATAGTTACAGTTTTTTGGTTTGAGATGATTTCTAATTTTTTTTAGTTAAATAGATGAGTGTGATAGAAAAAAAATGATTAATTGATGTTTAGGAAATGAAATAATGAAAGAAATAAGATAAACAAAAAATAATTTTAAAAAAAATTATAAATCAAACAAATTTTGAATTTTAAACCTTTAAAATTTTATTTGAAAATTAAACTAAAAACAAAACAGCATTTTGAGAGAGAGAGAGAGGAGCGTGGGATAGTTCACATGAAGCATTTTGTAATTCGTATATTATATAATTATGAGATTATTTGAAATTATTTAAATAAATGTATATTTTAACTTTTTATAATAAAAAGAAAAGAAATAATATGATCTCAAAAAGATAAAAAAATATATACTAATATAAGGAATGTCAAATAGTACTTATATTTTATTTGCTATCAAGTTGCATGATTTACAAATCTAAAAAAAAAAAAAAGTTGCATGATTTTATATTTATGTTTTTATGAGCTGGTATATGTAAATTATATTTTGTATTCATTTGTATCGTATAAAACAATACCGTAGTTTGAGGAGAACACGAGGGAGATAGCTAACATTATCTTCAAATTTACGTTAATTTTGTTTTCTTTCCACTATTTTTTAATTTTTATAACTAATTACTGTATTAAAGAAAGAATACAAATTATTCCATGTATATGTTCCATTTAGTGGTGGTCACAACAATCACATCATTGGCAGTGAGCCTTCCCTATCATGCACAAAAAGTGAAATCACAGTGACCAAAGCATAAGGGCCTATCTTATAAGTAGAGGTTTTCTCTCGTAGTTCTCGTTTCAGAACACGTTAATTTAGGTCAAGTTTGGCATATTTAAAAAAAGATATAAAATTAAAAAGTCATTATTCTATTTAAGTCATATCATTTTATTTAAGTCACATCACCTCTATAACACATCACTTCAAATCCAACCCAAACTCAACCCATATTTCATAAAAAGTTAAAAAGTGCACTTATTTAGATCATGCCAAACAACTCCTTAGTAACTTTTTAATTATTTGATTAAAATATAAATTAAAAAAAATTAATAGGTTTGGGATAACTTTTTATGAAAAGATGTGCAAAAAATAGAGAGAAAAAAGAATCTTTGACTTTTGAGTATAAGTTGTTAGCTTTTTAGTTTTTTTAAAAGTCACTTGCGAAGCGAGACCTTATTCATCTTTTATGAATTGAATTAAAAAAGGAAAAAAAAAAAGGAGAAAGAAATTGATATCTATAAACATGATCGTTTGGGAATAAGAAATTTAATAATTTTTTGATTATTTGGCTAAAATATGAACTAAAAAAAATTAATATGTTTGGGATGTCTTTTTGACTTTTTACGAAAAGATGTGCAAAAAGTAGAGAGAAAAGAGAATCTTTGACTTTTTAGTATAGGTTGTTGGTTTTTGACTAATTTAGTAACTTTTTGACTTTTTGACTAAAAATGAGGGTTTCCAAACGAGGCCTATGTAAATAATTTTTTACAAAATATAACACAAAATATATACATCAAAATGACAGACATAATTGCCATTTCTCATTCCATAATTAAGGCCAAATTTGGCATCTCCCCAAAAAGATAAAAAGTCAAAAAATTACTCAAAAAATTAAAAAGTTATCACTATTCATCAAAAAAATATTAAAAAATTAATTTTTCACACATCCATACAACTCAACAATCATGTATGTTTAGCGCTGTGCAGCGTTTGTTAAGAAAAATTCAGCGTCTGTGAAGAAAAATTGCAATTGCACAGTTTGGGTGCAATTTTCACACACTGTTGTTCAGCCCGTGGGGGTTCATCATGGGTCCCGTTTTGATAATCTGAACCGTTCAATGTGTAGAACTCGTTAAGTACTATATATTTGTAAAAAAACACATTGATCGGATATCGATAACTACATGATCAAATCAGTTTTGTATAAAAAAAATAGATAGTGTTATAATTAACGATTGAAAAAAACCAAATCTGATCAGATAGCTATCGATATCCGATCAACGTGATTTTTTATAGGCATATAGTACTCGATGAGTTCTACACATTGAACAGTTCAGATTATCAAAATGGGACCCGTGATGGCCCCCACGGGCAGAACAAAACCTTTCAATGCAATGCCTAAAAAGTAGCCAATAATTTCTTACCATCAATTCGGTTGTACAACACACATCTCCAATCTTCTCCTACACACTTCTTTATATAATTTTTTAATACACATTTTTTCATAAAAAGTCAAAAAATTAACCCAAATATTCATATTTTTTCCTCAACTTTATAGTCTAAAAAGATAAATAATGCACTTATTTAGGACACCACAAACAACTCCAAAATTACTCTATCATATAATTAAGGGTACTCAAGTTACATCTTTGTCATTAGCTTTTTCCTAAAATACTTAAGCTTAAATTGTTTTTGGTCAAAAAGGTATTATTTGTATTTATCCAAAAAGATATATATTTATTCAAAACTTAATTATTTGTTTATCTGTTTAATTATTTGTATATGTGTCACTTATCGATTCAATTATTTATTCAAATATTTATTTATTTGTACACATCACTTATTTACTCACACATATATTTTCCATGTCAAATATCTATCCATTTCACAATCATCCGCTGTCGTTGTTGACCATCACCGGCCACCAGTGATTTTTCCACGATTTGAATCATTTATTTGATTTTATTATGAATGTAAAAATTAAGAACTTAAATTATTTTGATAATCATGGTCATGGTTTTGATGATATACATTTAGAGAAAAATTAATGACACAGATAATTTTAAAAATAGATTATCTATTTTTTTCATACAAATTTAATGAAATCATATATTATAATTATTAAATCAATATATATATATATATATATTTTCAAAATCGATTAACATAAATAATATAACAAATTAACAACCCATGATAGGCCCACGGGCCACGAAAACATCCCCATCATCTATAAAGAGATTGGAGAGAAGTGTGTCTTGTTATTTACTGTTTCCTATTAACATGACAATACACACAACAATAATCTTAATCATTTATTTGTATATATTCCTTTTGTGTGAGCAATTATTCATTTCATACAATGTCACAAAATAATCTCATTGTATAGGATTTACATAAAACTTACATAAATAAATGATTGAGATTGTTTTATAATATTATCATTTAATTAAGAAAAAAAATTTCCTTCAAAGAAATAGTGTTCTCCCTCGTTTTGTTTTCGGGTCACATCTTTGCATTTTTTTCTGGTAGGGCAAACCAAGTTATTGGACACTTCAGTCCCACTTTCTTAGCCTTTGTTTGGGAGAGTTAAAATAACTTGATTTTTTAGTTTTTTAATTATTTTAGTTTGTTTTTTTTAATCTTATTTAGATTTTGTTTTTGACTTTTTTTACTTTGTGGGAGAAAAAATATAATGATTATGATTTCAATATGACATTTTATCTTATGGACTTATATAGTTAATTTTATCTTTTTATACTTTTTTTAATCAAAAAATCAAAACCAAACATAACTTTAATGTGTTCTGCATGCATTGAGATGTCTACTCCAACATTTATTTCCAAACATTATAAAAATTGGTCTTGCTAAGGCCTCGTTTGTCAAGTAGCTGTTTTAATTTAAAAGTCAAAAAATTACTAAAAAAATCAAAAACCTTGTAATATATACTAAAAAATCAAAAATTTTCTTTTCTCTCTATTTTTTGCACATCTTTTCGTAAAAAGTCAAAAATCACTCCAAACATACTAATTTTTTTAATCTCATATTTTAGCCAAAAAATAAAAAAATTACTAAAATAACATGTTTTCAAACGAGGTCTAAATTCCGAGTCTATAATACTGTTTATTCATGCTATTCTTTTTTTCTAAGATTCTCTATAAAAAAAATTAAAAAAAAAAAAAATTTCACATCAACTTCACGATAAAGAAAGCACTCTAAAGCACTCTAAAGCAAAGTGTTCTTTCTTCTGCTAAGACTCCGTTTGGCAAGAATTTTTTTGATTATTTTAGTCACAAAAGATAAAATAAGTTATTTTAGTCACAACAAACAAAATATCATATCCAATCCATAATCATTACATTCTTCTCTCTTAAAAAAAGTCAAAAAAGTCAAGAAGTCAAAAAACTCATCGCAAATTAAATTTTTTAGCCTAAGTTAAAATAGTTATAAAAACCAAAAATTCAAAAAGTAAACCCACTTAGCAAACGGGGCTAAGATTCTCCATAAGAAAAAAAAAAAAAAAAAAAAATCACATCAACTTCACGATAAAGAAAGCACTCTAAGGCTATGTTTGGGATAATTTTTTTTAGTTACTTTAGTAA